AGCGAGTCAAGGCGTGGAAAAGAGTTCTCCCCTAGAGCTTCCTTGATATTAGCACTTCTGATCTCCAGAATAATAATAAGTGTGTGCTGTTTTAAGCCACTCAGTTTGTGGTAATTTGTGATCGCACCAAGAGGAAGTTAATACAGACTAGACAGCCAGCCATGGGGCATGCAGGGGGAGAAGGTCCCAGGCAGAAGGAAGAGCAAGTGCAAAGGCCTGGAGCTCTAGTCCAAGGATCCTGGCCAGGATGGCTGCAGCACGATGGGTCAGAAGGGTGTGGAAGGAGAGACAGCCTGAGAGGTCAAAAGGGGCTAGATCTGTGTCCGACCTGGCAGGCCTGGTGAGGAGATCAGATCACATCCTCAATTACGGTGGAAGCTTCTCAGGACTGCGAAAAGCTCTAGCATCTCCAAGGCCCACAAAGTCAGGGGCACACTCCAAAAAAATACATACAAATGGCCTAGAAACACATGAAAAGAGCTCAGCAGCACTATCACTGGGGAAATGCAAATCAAAACCACAGTGAGATGCCTGCCTTCATACCTGCTCAGAAAGCTAGAATCAAAACGATGACAATAACTTTACATGGACAAGGATGTGGAGAAACTATAACCCTCATACCTTTTTTTTTTTTTGGAGACAGAGTCTCACCATGTCTCCCTGGGTAGAGTGCCGTGGCGTCATAGCTCATAGCAACCTCAAACTCAGGCTTAAGTGATTCTCTTGCCTCGGCCTCCCAAGTAGCTGGGACCACAGGCACCCACCACAATGCCCACCTATTTTTTTTGTCGTTGTTGTCATTGTCGTTGTTTGACAGGCCCAGGCTGGGTTTGAACCCACCAGCTCCAGTGTACGTGGCTGGCACCCTAGCCGCTGAGCTATAGGCACTGAGCCCGTAACCCTCATACCTTGCTGGCTCAGCCACTTTGGAAAATGGTGTGGCAGCTCTTCAGATGGTTAAACATTAGAGTTACCATCTGACCGAGCAATTCCACTCCTAGTTATATACCCAAGGGAAATGAAAGCAAGTGTCCACACAAAAACTGGTACATGAACATTCTCAGCAGCATTATTCATAACAGCCAAAAAGCAGGAACAACTCAATGTCCATCAACTGATGAGTGAATAAATAAAATGTGACATAGCTATACAATGAAATATTATTAAAATAAAATTTAGAATGATGAATGCCACAAAGCGGATGAACCTTGAAAACGTTATGCTAAACGAAAGAAGTCACAAAGGCCCATATATTGTATGATTCCATTTACATGAAATATCTGGAACAGGCAATGCCTAAAGATGGGAGAAATGGGGGGAAGGGTTGGGAGTAACAGTGAAGGAGTACAGAGTTTCCGGGGTAATGAAAATGTTCTAAGATTTGTCTGGGCGCAGTGGCACACCCAGCATTCCGGGAGGCCAAGGCAGGAGGATCCTTTGAACTCAGGAGTTCAAGACCAGCCTAAGCAAGAGCAAGACCCCATCTCCACCAAAAATAGAAAAATTAGGCAGGACACCCATAGCAAAGTGCCAGCCACATACATCAAGGCTGGTGGGTTCGAACCTGGCCCGAGCCAGCTAAACAACAATGACAACTGCAACAACAAAAAAAGAACCAGGTGTTGTGGCAGGTGCCTATAGTCCCAGCTATTTGGGAGCTAAGGCAAGAAAATCGCTTAAACCCAAGAGCTGGAGGTTGCTGTGAGCTGTGAAGCCATGGCATGCTACCCAGGGTGACAAAATAAGACTCTGTCTCAAAAAAAAA